ACTCTGATGATTGGTGAAAACCCCAAATGTGAAACTCTGCCGAAACTCTAATAAACAATTAATGTGTAACCTGTCGATTGATTTCTGGAGGAGTTTCTCCCGCAACCTTAGTGTTGAGCTATAAATAACCTATTAATTAGGAAACTCGGATTGCATGCTCGCAATGCAAATCAAGGCTCATCACATGCTGTTATTTGAGGAATTTACCAGTTCCATCTCCCATTTCCTGTAGAGACATATTTGCAAAATTATCAGCAAGTGACTTCTGAATTAAAATTATTTGGAAAATCCAGTGGAAAAATACAATAGATGCAGTATTTCAAAATCCTTTATGAATTTGTGGAAATGATTTTGATTTTCAGGATGTTCATAAAGAGATTGCTTCAAAAGTTGAATTGGGTTGCAGAATTCCACCACCAAATGTTGTATTACTCAAACCAGGTCCAGAAGCTAAAAGTGATGAAGCAGTTTTTGAATCAATAAATATGTATATTAAAGAGCTTAAACAAAATGTTATTGATCTAGTGTGTGATGAAGCTATCTTCAGGAGAACTAAAACCTACCATAATGAAAATTTGACTGGAAGATTCATCTTAGGCCAGTGGCATACTTCAAAATCTATGGCTAATGCCTTAATAACTGCTTTCAGTGGATATGGCATTTACAATATTGCTACTGCACTTGGAGTTCGTTTTTTAGACCAATTAGAAAAGAATGTTGATTACAGGGCTACAACTTCCTTTTTAGATCTCATTTGGGCTGCTGTTGGAATATCTATTCATAAATATGTGACAAACAAAAATATGTCAATTAATGATATTCCCAATGAAAATAATGATGTTTTAAAAGTATGGTATTTATACTTCCGCTTATCTGGGTTTTGGAAGGGGCATCAACTTAGTCTCAATTTCTTAAATGTATAACAAAATTCGGAATTTTCAAAATGCTAAGGCTCTGCCAATTTTCAGTTTAAGAAAAAACCAGCCGATAAGTTTTGAAGCTTGAGTCATGAACAATAAAACTTATTGGTTAAATTTTTTAAAATGATATAATTTTTTTTAGTATTTTGAAGTTGACCAATTGTTACTATAAGCAATTAATGATTATAGATGATCTGCACCGTAATAATAGTAAATAGTAGTAGCTGACATCTTTCTTTTATTTTCTTAAGTCATAGTACTAGTAACCATAGTAGATTATAAATGTAATTAATTATCTTGTTAAAAGAAATAAGACCCTATTTATAATTTTACATTTTATATTTTATAAAATGAATAAACCGATATAAAACGAACAAGTGTGACCAATTTTTGAAATGTAACGTGTAACCAGCTCAGTTTCAAAAATCGGAGTTTGAACTGGGTTTAACCGGTTCAATAAACCGCAGTTTGAAATGTGTAAACCAAACCGCCGGTTGAACCGGTTTGGGTTAAACCGTTCCCATCCCTAACTGTTTGCTTATGATTATATTATAATTAATAAAAATGTAATTTTTTCAAATTGAATTTATATATACAGTATATATTATTTTTATACAATAAAAAATCAAGATTTACATTGCAGTGTAACAATGTGTTGTGCATTGTTGAGTAGGCTGCGCATCTTGAAATAAGGTTGTGCAATGGTACCCATTTACATCGCGATGCAATTTTATAATTTAAGATCCTCATGGGAATATCTACCAATAATGTGAATTTATTAACCTGGTGGAAAGATGATTTTGGAGCTGTGGCATCTGAATTGACAAAAGTTGCGGTAAGAGTTCTTTCTATTCCTACCTCATCAGCTGCAGCAGAAAGGAATTGATCTACATTTTCTCATATATATGATAAAAAACGAGATAAATTGACAAATGATCGTGTTTTTAAATTAGTTTATATATATTTTAATAATAAATTGAAACCCCAAAGATAAGTAAAATTACAAATATAGGTGAAGATATTGATGATAGTGATGATGACGATAATGATGATAGTGATGATACTGTTGATGATAGTGATGACAATGTTGATAATAGTGATATTGACAATGATGATGAAAATGGATTATCTGTAAACATTTAATTTTCATAATATATTTTTAATAATGAATAAATAATGCATTAAAAACGTTAAAAGCAGTAATGTCAGATATAATGTTGAGTGATTTTTTTAAAAAAAAAAAAATGCACTGCATCATGTGCATGAAATTTTGAAATTTCATGCAATTTCCCATCCCTAGAAACTGTATAACATTCTAAAAATGGTGTCTGGACAATAGAAATGGACCATGTTGTGAAAATGATGTTTTGAGAAAATTTAAAAAAAGATCTGCATTTCAAATAATTTACTATTGTTTTTAAAACTTTAATGGAGGGTATCTCAAGGTTTTATTAAGCAAAAGTGGGTATGGTTTCTAAGCCAAAAATGTTCTACATGAGGAATTACATATAATAGTGATACTAACTCAAAATTGCTTTTTTCACAACGTGGTCCGTTTCTATTGTCCACACCCATTTAGTATTTTATTAATGGCAATGGACCAGTCCAAAGTCCACCAGTAAATTTTCCAACCCTGATTGATATATTATCAATTATTCCTTCACTCAAGCAAATAATTGTTCGCAATATAACACTATTTGGAATGTAATTTTTGGTCAATCATATGTAATGATTCTACGTTGAACCAATTTCTTAATAAACGTTCTTGTTAGAATGTAAATCAATTTCTCGACATATACAAGATTTATTGGTATTCAGAACACAAAATTGTAAAAAAAAAATATTTCAATTGGAAAGTTTTAATTATAACCCTCTCAACTTTTTCCTTGTAGCAACCATTTTTTATTAAAATACTTTTCAAAGAAAACGTCATATGAAATTAACGGATAGGAAGCTTTTTACTGAATTTATCACAATTATATAACCCACTTTTTTTATTTGTATTATTAATTGGTAGTGATGATTAATAATTATCTATGCAATTCAAGGTGACATAAAGCAAATCAAGTACTTTAAACAATTGATTGCTTGCATCTGACTTATCGAGTTTACATGTGTAGCTAGTGATTTTAAAGAAATTTTGTCAGATATTTGTTACTTGCTTCACATTTGTATATGTTTAACAACACCAGCATAACTGTCTATTGATTATATCAATAGATAATACTAAATATTATTTCCAAAACTACCGGGTATTCTTCGTTTGAGAACGAATTGATACTATTCGAGATTTTATAATCATTATGAAGGCATTATGAAAAAGAGCCACTCTATTCATTTATATTTCGCAAATCCTACAGAAATTTATGAAATACAGAAAACAATTTTCTCTAATTATGGAGAAATAACTTAGCTTTAATTCTATGATTTGCTTTTTGGTCTTTGCATTTCCATTTTTAGAGGAATTAAGGTTATGGGGCTAAGTGTGCGTGGTTTTGTTTCTTCTTACATCACATAAATCACATAAATAAATAATTCTCCGTCCACAATATAAGGGTACAAATTTGATTGACTGATTGTTATTAGTGTTTTAATGTTTTGTTCATATTCGGATATCAATCACATGAATATGAATGATATTAATATTCGGTTTCAAATAATGAATATGAATGATATTAATATTCGGCAATTAACGAATATGAATGATATTAATATTCGGATATTATTTCAAATAATAAATAAACACATGCACTAATTGTCATACGCAAAATATATCTATTTTTTTTTTTTTTGACTTTGTTACCGAGAAACCGTACATTTCAAAAAATACTTCTATTATGGTTACGAATTAAAGGACTTTACATCTGCTCAACCACTTTTTAAATTAAAATAATCACAGCTTTGAAGTAATGCCATTTTGAATAATGTAGTTTTGTGTAGCGAACTCATTTCATTCATTAGAAAGCTTGGATGGATGGTGTAGTTTTACTTTGCTTTATTAATTTAATAAAGTTCTAAATATAAATTCTTTTTTTTTTTTTTAATTTACCCATTTTTAACACAATAACATGCTATCATCATGATCAAATCCTCTTGGACGTTTTTGGGTGTTATTCACAAACATTGTAGTTAGGGATGTTAAATGGTTGAGTCGGTTCGGTTCGGTTTAAAAACCGTGTTAGACCGGTTTGAACCGTGGTTTAAAACCGCGGTTCAACCGTGGTTTGTCGATCATATACTAAGATCTGATTGGTCAATTTTAATAACCGTTGTTGATCACATACTTTAAATATGAGTGGTTAATTTTAACAACGATTTTTAATATAATATATACATGAAATACAATTTATATTTATTAATTTTAAAATGACAAAAACATTAATTATTCATTCCTAAAACAAAAAAAAAAAAAAAAAATAAAATATAATATAATTAAAAATTAAAAACTAGATTGATTATAACATACTTGCTTCATAATCTATCCAACTTTTTAAGCATAAAGCAGCATGTGCTGTATTGGGATGAAGACAATTATGAATTTTTGTAATTGTGTGGGCTGCCATTTAGAAAGCTTGCTCACATGGAACACTTGTTCCTTGAATAGCAAGGTAATCTTGTGCTATTTTAGATAAAACTGGAAATTTATCTTCATATTGGCTCCACCAAAGTAATGAATCTGAAGATACTGATGGTAAAGCTAAATATCTTTCTAACTCATCTTCGATTGGTCAAGGTTGAGCTTGATTAACTTGATTATTTTGTTGTGTAATTAAATTTTCAAAAAATAATCTAGTACTAGAAGATTTTAAAATATTATTTTCAGAATTTGAGTTTTTAATTTTGATGTATAATTATTCATTTTAGAATGAAGCATATTAATAGCTTGATTTCTTTTTTCTTCTATTGAAAAAGTGAGTAATTTTGAACAAGGATCTAACAAAGTTGAAATAATAGTAGATTTATCTATAATTGTCCAATAATCTTCTAGTTTTTTACATATAGAATCTGCCATCATACATTTTTCAATTGAATGATTTTGATTTTCTATATATAACTCAATGTGTCGAAAAATTCCTATGAAAGTTAACCAAATATCACTAACAGTTGGGTATGATGAAGATGATAGCATTTTAGTTGCTTTATACATAGGATCTAATAAAATTATCATTGATTTGAACTTCTTCCCACTCATTATTATTAAGATAAATTGATTCTAAAATTTTATTATTATTATTAACTAAACAATTAAGTTCTTCGTGCATATGTTTAAATTTTTCCAACATTAAAAATGTGCTATTTCATCTGGTAGCAACATCAAGATCAGGCTTACAATAATTTTTTTTCATTTCTTTACAAATAATCCCATAGCTCATCACAAAATTTTGTTGAATTATGAATTTTATTTACAAACTTTCTTACTTTATCAATAATAGGAGCTCTTAGTACCATTCCATGATTTACTGCTAAATTTAAAATATGAACAGCACATCTATAGTGATGAAAATCACAATGTTCACAAGTTTCTTCTAATTTGTATAACATAAGATTACCACATCTAATCATTTTTGCATCATTATTTGTAGTAAGCACAAGGGCTTTATCATTAAGATTCATTTCATTAATTAATTGAAAAAGCTTTTCTTTAATTCTCATAACCATGGTTCAACCATGGTTCAACCACAGTTGAGTCAGCTGTTTAACATCCCTAACCTTCACTGATAGAAGACTTCATATTAGTTGATCTCGAAGAATCAGGTATTTGAAGTTTTGCTTCATTGTTAGCCTTATTTATAGTATCACTAGACTTGGGAGTATCAATTTTTTCTGTCTGATCCATATTTTTTCTACGTTTTAAAAACTTACTAAAATCTAACTTAGGTTTATTAGATGCAGGAGCATCACTTTGTAAGACATTTGATATATTTTTCTCATTGCCTCCACTAACTGCAGATGAATCAGAGATCCGAAGCTTTGCTTCTCCCGATGGTAACTCTATCTGATCAGATGAAAATCGAGGTATGGCTTCCAATTTCAATTGCTCCAGCTTGTTAACTTTTAAGGATAATTCAGCTAATTTAGATTTGAGGGACAAGACCTCGGATTCTTTCATGAACAAATCTTTTTATGCTAAATCTAATTTAGCTTCCAATGTCTTAATTTCAGATTGAAGCAATTCTAATGGGTCACAAGAAAAGGACAGGGTACAGGTAATTGTGGCTAATGCCTGTCCCCTGTCCTTTTCTTGTGACCCAATTTTTTTTTATACACTGATCTCGAATATTGTTTAAAATCAAACATTTACATTATCATTCATTATCTTCCAACTTTCTTTTTCTTTAACATCTTCATTTGTTAAATATGTGCGTATGTGTCACTTTATTCAATTATAAACTGCTTTACGTTTATAATATGGCGAACATAAATCGGAGCAAAAACGATCAAACAGGACATTTTGGTTGAATTAATGTTAAAATATATGGCAAGGCGAGGATTGCAAATTTTATATATAACTATGGTATAATTTAATGATATACTTTTGGTTTCTATCTTCCAAAAATGGACTACTTGTCATAAGAATCTCTAAACGACTTTGGTTGAGTGAAGTAAATGTACGACAAGATTGCACGTTTTATATATTATTTTTGCATTGTTGACATACTTTAGCTTTCTATCTTTATATCACTAAAAAATGATTGAAAATTTTATTTCTTTATATAATTCGTGTAAGAATTATAAAATGCTCAATTAAAAAATAAACAAACAAAATTTTTTTACAACAAACATCCATGATTTCAGAATAACTAGGCTTAAATTTTGGTCTGTTGCTCCGTATATATTATTTATTGAAATAAATAGTTTTTTTTTCAAATTTACAAATACAATTGTATTAATTATAAATATTATTCTAAATTTTCTTCTCTATTACCCAGTCTGCTTACTTTAACATAAGAATCGGTGCCAAAACCATCCATTGTAACCAATTCCAATCCGCCATCCCAATACTCTGCATAAACTTTACTCATCGGCAGTCCAATACCTAAATTTAATTTTGGCGGTATGATTAAACTTTCATATTCATCAACCTTCCCTGCCAATTTTGGAACTTTTTGAAAATTTGAAAATTTATTTGATTTGTCAACATCAGGAGCAGTGGTGGTGTTGTTGTTATTGTTGCGATCGTTAACTTCATCGCTGTCAACAGTACTGTTCATACTATCGTTACTACTGCTGCTACTTTTTTTGCGTGAGAATGACCAAATATTTAAATATAAATCATCTGATATCCCACCACCTTGATCTGATACGCGAAAATAAACATCCGTAGGATTAGAACATACTGTAACCTTTATTGGTGGATATGAAGTTAAAGATGATGATTTATCTGTTGCCGAAGAAGTGTTTTTATGACTCTCTATTACGCCTCTAATAGAATTCTTTAATAATTCATAAAGTATATACTCTATATGATCAGGTATATAAGTGAATGTTATGTCCTCACCATTATCATCAATCACAATGTCTGGCGGTTCCACACCATATGCCTTTCTGCATAAATTTCTAGTCATTTTAGCACATCTTTCCACAATATCTCTGGGGTTACATCTTGTTGAAACAATCCCAATGTTTCCATCGTAATTCTCTTGTCCATAACTATAATTTGGATCATGCCAATTTTCTGTCAAGGCAATTTGTTGTTCAGCTAAAACTCTTCTTGATATACGAGATCTTAACATCGTATTCATAAACTTGTCCAACTTATCAACTGGCAAGTGGTCCGAACACTCATTTATGCCCATTGCCAATTTCGGTATTACAACCAAATGTTCCTTCAACAATCCCTTGATCGTTTCACACCATTCAATATTATCATCCATTGTTCTAATGGTCGGTATCTTTCTCAATTTCTCAAACGCCGACCAATACAAATCATACACCTCTGCAATGTGTGGGTTGGTACCAACTATAAATGGTAGTCGTTGAAAATCTCTTATTCTGTAAGCCAATCTAACCGGTAATTCTGTACGTACATAATTGCCACTTTTTAACAATCTTTCTTCTGTTAAATTACGCCCAAAAACCACCAATTGTCGCATAGTGATAGTTTTTAAAGGCTGTGAAACATATTGATCTATTATACGATTATGATAAAAATGTTGCGGTGAATATTTTCTTGTTTGTGGTCTTAATGATAGTGTTTGTCTTGATGATGGTGAACTGATAAAATTATTATCACTATTATTATTATTAAAACAGTAATTGAATGATTGGAGAGCTTTTTTTGCCCTTGATGATATAGTTTGTGACGTTGAAGTTGACGATAGAGGTGATAAAGATGACTGTGGTATTAGTTTGTTGTTTTTATCGGGTGAAATTGGTAGGATTGTTCTAATATTAGAATGTAGAGAAATAAATTCTATCGAACCATATTTTTTTTTATTTATTGATGCTGATGATGATATTTTACGATAAGTATTGTTTATTATGACTTTATTTGATGTTATTGTTGATAAAGTTTTCATACTTTGAATAAGTGAATAATAAGAATGTTGTGTGTTAGTAAATTGAAAAAAAAAATAAATTTTCTGAATTGCAGATCAGATTCAAGATTTTTTGAAATTGAACTTTAATTTATGTATCACGAACGGTGTGTAATTTCGTCGGGTAACTAGTACAAATTTAGAAACTATCTCCAGAAATTGATGGCAATGTTATTTCTTTTAATTTACGTACGAACCAAGTAGCAAGATGGAACTTTTTCATTTTAACATACAGATATTCTTTAACTCTTTCAAATATATCTGCTACTTTTTAGAAAGTATATATACAGTCCCTTGAAAAAAGTATCGCTTCACCTGATGATCGACGAAAATAATTGGATAACTTCTGTGATATA